GATAGATAGATAGATAGATAGATAGATAGATAGATAGATAGATAGATAGATAGATATTGTACTTCATAGAAGCAGGTTTACCACGGAAACTTTAACAATCCAATTTATATACATCTGCAATACTAGAACAATCTCACCTAAAAGTAAAATTTCTTATCTCTTTACTTATGAAGGGAAATATCAAACTTAAGACAGTAAGCAAAAAATCACTAACCCATTCCCTGGTAGGAAATGTTACTGATAACATAGATCCTGCTGTACTCTCATTTTTCAGCCACAGATTTTTATACAATGAATATACAGTAACTAATAGAACAGTGTTTCAGTTTGTGCCAGAGTTAGCCTAAGTAGGTGGTACAACATAAACCACAGTATTTAGATCTGTATATGTTGTTTTGGTCTATTTGTTTCCTTAACTTTTTACAATTATTATGGTTGGTTGCAACGTCAGCCAGATGTTTAGGCTATTATTATTTTTTATTATTATTTTATTATTATTTTACAGCTACATGACTGATGGTGGATTGGGCCTTTACACTCGAAGATTAAATAGACTTCCTGATGGAATGGCTGCTGTACGGGAAACTTTGCAACGCAACACCTCACTGGGTCTTGGTGATGCAGACAGGTAGGCTGATCTGTTTCTCTTATTTTTTTTCAGTCTGAAATGTATTTCACTGCAGATACAAAACAAAAATGTGTCTTTCAAAAATAGTGTTGCAAGGCATCAGAATTGAACTCCAAATGTTTCTGCTGTTTGGCTGAGATATTTTGATGGGAACTGAACCATGATACAGCAAGTGGAGTCGAACAGAAGTATATTTTATACAATAGCACAACTGAACACTCATGTTCATAATTCACTACTAATAGAACAAAATTCTAAGCAATTAAGATGTAATTGCAACAAAAGTGTTGGATTGGATGACGTGACTAGCAGGAAAAAAATAAGTTATATGTTTGGAAATTTACTCCCCCATGCCAGTGATCAGAGAATTAATATGAACATGTATCAGTGTCTTACCAAATCATGGGTAAAAAGTGTGTCAGTTATTGCATAATGAGTTAATTTACACAGTCCTTTTCCATTTTAAAATACTGTGGCGTTGCCTTTGTAAATTCAAAATTCCTTGAAGTCTATCCAGGTTTTCTGTTGTTTTCATTATAATAGGTTAGTACCTGTCAAAAGTAATTCCAGTTTAGTACTGGCATGGAATAAATACATAATGGTGGATTAAGCCTTAACTGTGACTGACATATTAGTAATACATTCAGCTAGTATAGGAGGGCTTGAATTCATGACATGAGCAGAGTTAATTAAAAATAACAAACATTTTGTTCATCAGGGTGTGCTTACAAATGAAGCTGCTTTCTTGGTCTAGTTTAGCATTGCTCCCTTTGATTAGTAGCAGGCCTCTAGACTCTTAGGACTGAGGTAAAACCTTTGCCTACTGCAGCCCCCATCAATCTGGTGTCCTCCAGTTGTGTTGAACTGCAACCTCTGTAGTTCTCAGTGAGGGGAGACCAGGCTGGAAATTATGGAAATTGTAGTTTGATATATTTGGACAGGGCCAGGTTGTAGAAAGCTGTGGCCTAAGATTTTTGTTTTGTTTTGCATTTTGTTTTGTTTGAGGAAATTGTATGGAATTTGAGACTTGTGTGCAAAACATTTATCAATCTACGGCCTCTCTTATAATAGTCATGTGCTTTGTGGGATACAAAACCTTATTAGCATGTGGTTTTCTTGCATGTTGTAAAAGCATATTTAATCCACCAATACATCTATTCTTGTCTGATGGGCATTTTTTTATACTACCATAGACAAGGTGTTGGGTGAAATGCAAATATTAGCTGTCAGTAGAGAGCTTATTCATGTAGCCAATACATTTACTGAAAGATTTCTGCACAACTTTTGCAGCTGGAATGTAAGCAGACAAGGAGATGTATTATCTACTTTTTGTAAGTCAAATAAGAAGGAGGCAGGGGAGAGACAATACAAACTTGAAGGTTTGATCCATGATGTTGGTTTAGCATCAGAAGTTGCACGTACACTCAGATAAGAAGGTTTATTGTAATTGTGCTGAAGTTGTTTTGGTTGGGGGAGAAAATCCTATTGCTACTAGTTAGTTTCAAGCCAGAAAAACCCTATGCAAACTCTGAAGTTTAAAATTGTGTTGAGGGGAAAAAATACCCTTTTGAATTCTAAACTTCTGTTCAGTTTCTTGTACAATTTTAGGCCTTATTTAAATATATTTCTCATGGAACATAGCAGAAACCAGAGTAGCATAAGAAGCATTCATATGGTATACATAAATCAATTGAGCAATACATGCACATATTGCAGATTTAACTTGGATTGCAATGGAGGGATATGTAGATTACCTAGTTTAGCACTTCTATTGCTCAAATGATTATGGTGATAAATGCACTCAGCAGAGTTTACTTAAATCATTCTGTGTTCAGTCTGCTGCCTTCTGTGTTGCTGGAAATTTGAAGTCCAAAACATATGGAAGTCACCAGGCTGAGAAAAGCAGATAGTCCTCAAATTACAATGACACTTGGGACTGGAATTTATATTGCTAAGTGATGCAGTTGTAAAGTGAGTGGCCAGCATGGCATGAGCGCAGAGGGGCTGAGAAGGGTGTGCAGGTGGGGAGGACTTACCCCAGCGACTTGCAACCTTCCCTGCCAGCTTCCCCATTAACTTTCTGGGGAAGCTGGCAGGGAAGGTTGCAAATGGCAATCATATGATCGTGGGGTGCTTGGCAACCAGTCGTAAGTGTGAATGGGTTGCCAAGTGCCCAGATCGTGTTCATGTGGCCACGGGGTGCTGAGACAGCTGTAACTCCAAGGACCGGTTGTAAGTCTCCTTTTTCAGCATTGTTATAACTTTAAATGGTTGCTGAATGAATGGTCATAAGTTAAAAACTACTTGTATAGGGTAAGATAGGTAAACATTAGTGCACAAGAAGGCCATAGCTTGTATAAAGCCTCATGATGTTTTGATAGAAGAGGAGAGATTTTTTTAGTCTTTTAATTCCACTATGATACATTAAATCAGAATTCCAATAAGCATAACGGAAAAAGTACAAGTATTTTTTAGTTAAATGCAGTGACGTTCAGCTGAACGTGGCTGATTTCAAAAAGCTAAGCAGGAACAGACCTGATTAATAGCTGACTGCAAGACAGCCAAAGCTGTAGGCCAGACTGGGAAGTCCTAAGCCATCCTGGAAGAAAGAAATGGCAAACTACTTCTGAATTATTGCCAAGAAAACAACACAGACATGTCTGTGACATCACTGGGATTGACTCAAAGGAGACTTTGTTTTAAGTTGGAAGAGAGTCCACATGGCTTACACATATGACAATACACATCCAGAGTGTGAAAACATACCTCCCTAATTCTAGAACATTGCATAAGACTCCGAGTATGAAACTAAATTCCGATCCCAAACCACTTCAAGAAAGAAGCTGCTTTCTGTTCTAGGTTGTGGACCAGCTGCTTTGGCAGCTTAAGAAACCCCAGTGGCTCTGAATCTACTGAAGGTTTTAATAGAGGCTAAACCAACTGTCCAGTAAAAGACAAAAATAAATTTGTATAATTTACAAGAAATTTGGAATAGACAATTTTAAGTATCCCATATTACTAAATCAATGGTCTCAGGTATTGAGAGATATTAAGTATCTTTCTTATGATTTAAAAACTAGATTAATTAGTGAAAAGATCTTTTGGAGTTTATTGGGTTTATCTGAGTTTATTAAAAGCAATTTGAGGTGTCCAGAGGGATGTCTTCAGGAAGGATTAAAAAATCTCAAGATGGCAGACACAATTGTGTGATTAAAAACCTGCCCCCTTTTATAGTGTGAATAAGGCATTTAAAAGCGGGGGTGGGGGCTGGCTTCAGTCACATATTGACCTACCGATTTGACTTTTTTGACGCCCCTTTTGCAGACACCTCTATAGCCTTCCTATATTGGAGATGCAATACATTTCAAGATTCATTAGTGCACAAACTTTGATCATATGCTTTTGGTGTACTAGCTGCCCTGCTGTTCTTTGGGATCGCTCCCTGGGCTGCTTGATCTGGTTGCCAAGTTGGTGGTGGAGACCCCCGCATGTTGGTATTGATGGACTTCATCCTCCATGTGGGAGGTGTCAGATCTGGTAGAGCCCAGGAATTCATGGCCTCCCTAGAAACCTTGTGCTGAGGGAATCTCAGGTCCAACACTTATACACAGTTACATGTCTCTACCATGTCTTTACCTCACAGCAGCTGTTATATGATCTGGATGTGGGGGGAATTACCATCTTCCCTTTGTTATGGTCAGATCACTTCCTGGTCCACATGTGACTGACTGCCACTCATTCCCTCCATAGGGCCAGACCCCCATTCAGATGGTCTGCTTCAATTGGTTTCTGGTGGGTGCTTGGGGATTTCCCTGACAATCTGGCAAAAGAGGCAGTTGAGGGTGTGGTTCACCATTGACAAGGGGCAATGTCTTAGGCCCTTGATGAAAGGCCTGTTGCCAGTCCTGAGGGGCTCCTTGATTTTTGGAGAACCTCCGGAAAATGAATAGCAAAAGCAATTCCTGGAGTACAGGTGGGAATGATGAATACTGAATCTGAGTGAGCATGGTTATGTGTCCAGGTTTGGGCCTAATCCATGGTGACAAGAGAAGCAAAGCATTTTTCTTCTCCTTCCTTATTGCAATGGCAGGTTAACATGCAGCAGCCATTCCTCGGGTGGCTAATTCCCTTTTGGTTAAGAGCCATCATGACTAGTTAGCACAATATTTTGTTGGTAAAGTAGCTCAAATTCAAGTCTGGACTCCACTTAGGCAAGCCTCCAACTTTCACTCAAGATGGTTGAGATGTTAATTTGGGGCCAATTATAGAGCACCCTAGAGGAAGTAGATTATCTGCAGCTTTATAGGGGGGTTCAAGCCCAGGCATGGGACAGAGACAGCATCGGTCACTCTAGTGAATAACCTTTATTGAGGCTTAGATGGGACTAGTGCACATGTCTTGATCCTTTTGGACTTCTCAGTTGCCTTCAATACAATCAACTGTGGTTTCCTTCTGCACCTTCTGCAGGGATTGGGGATTGGAGGCACTGTTTTGCAATGGTTCCATTCCTTCCATAGCAGCTGGTTCCAGTGGCAGCAGAAGAGAAATTGCTTCCTTGTGGGATATCGTAAGGATGGGTTGATGGGGTTCCGTGAGAGGGGAAAAAATGTTCACTCAAATGGAGCCAATTTTCTACCACTAGAGCTTTGTCTTCTGATCAAGGGCTCTGTGATTTTTTTTTAACTATCAGGTTCCACAGCATTAAAATTTTGAAAACACCTTTTCTAGGTTGTCCACTCTACTCAACATCTCAATACATATTGTGCATTTGCACAAAATATTTTGCATTTGAAAAGTAATTTATAAAGAATTGTCAAAGAACTATAAACGAGTCTAGGCTACTTTTGCTTTATTCCAGGGGCAAAGGAAAAAAAACTTTCATTTTTATGTTGGGAGATGCTTATCTTTTAATAAATAAAATGGCATTTAATGGTGTAATAAAAACTATCCCTTGCTCCAACTCTCATTTTATTTCCCCACCCATTTAATGATCTTATAAT